TTCAGTGCATACACTGTGACAGCGACAAACTCCTGTTACTACGTCCTCAGTGCAGTACCCACGGGTGTTGCCAAATCAAACAAGTCTAAATATGTTGCTGAAAAGTGGATGAGATGCAATTGGGGGAGAAGGATGGGGAAGCTGTGACTGCAGTGCTGACCAGAAGTGGCAACAGGTGTGTGAATGGGTGGGGCAGTTAGGTAATGAGGAGAGGAGGGAAAGTCCAAGGAGATCTGGTGGACGGCAAGAGGTTAGCGAAGTTAAAGAAAGAAAAATGGGCTGAGAGAAGAGATCAGATGGAGGCAGGAGGTCCTAAATTCCTCTCCTCGCATCCTAGTCCCTCCCAAGATGCGAGCAGAGGGGCCGCTGCACTGTATGAAAGGTACGGAGCCGGCAAGGTGGTCAGATTTGATACGCCTCTGAGCCGGAATGTGAGCTGGAACAGGTGTGAATCACTATGTGAAACACACATGCGGGGCATTGGCGGACAGTCTTATTCTATTCTTTCTTTATTGTGGGATCTCTTTGTGAAACAGCTATAGAGAGAGTAATGCAAAGCTGGGGTGGGTAGTAACTCACTCTCAAATGAGTAAAAAAAGTTGTTGTTTCACATTCCTTTTTAAAAATGTACTTTTACTCTTTACTCGAGTATTTTAACATAAGTAGCTACAGTTACAATTTATACCTTCATTACAACTAGTCTGTTATCTACTATGCATTTTGCTGCATTAACTGAAATGAGCTGTCATCCATAATCCATCATGTGTGGTTATGCAGGAGAGCTTTAACCGGTGCACTTATGCCTAATATGAAGTTTTGCAAACTCAATGTCTGAGAAACAACCAGCAGCAATTGAAGAACTGCCCTCTTTTGCCAACAATAGTGTGTAGCACAAAATAAGTCACAGCTCCACATGGAGCTTCGGGCTCAATGTTCAATGCCATGGCGCTCGTATCGGCGAGTGATGACAAACACTGGGGAATAACTTTTGCCTCAGAAGAGCGCCGGGCCACGAAGCAGGATGAGGTTTACAGGGAAAACGGCTTCTGCTTGTGGGTTTGGTGGGAGGGGCTTAGGGGATTGATACAAGCAGCATGTTTTTGTATGGTCAGTGATTGCTGACTGTTGCTTTAAACAGAAATAGGTAAATTAGAGATAATCAATATGTAAAGTACATTCCTAGAAATAACCATGTTGCACAGCGGATGAAACATTTATTCCAAACAGAGACTTGAAAACTAACTTGGACTTGAAAATGACTTGTGAAGCTCTCTGGCCTGCCACAACCTTAATTTCTAGCTCTCTACATAAAGGACACACTACTTCTTGTTTGGCAGTGAACACTGGCATTAGACAAAACTTGCGAGGTGCAGAATTGTCCAGTATAGATGACATTTCTCGGATACTGTCCGGCATCAAGTGCTCGGCAAGCTCATTCTCCTCTTTCCTCCTATCCTCTTCATTTTGTTCACCCACTCAACGTTCTTTCAGCTGCTCTGCTCTCTCCTCCGCATTCTCATTTAATCCCTCTCTCTATGTTCCTTCCTCTCTTATTTGATATCTTACATTCCCTTCTATTTCTCCTTGTATCATGTCATATGAGCCCTGACTCTGTGGTGATGCCCATCATGTCTGATACCAGTGACCATCATTACAGCCAGTAACAGTAAATCCTCAGGGGGAGCTGCCCAGCTCGTTGCTAAGAAGCCCCTCCACAGGTCAGTGTGTGGTGTGTGTTATCACAGAAGGTGGAGAACATGAAATGGCTTCCTCCCCATCTGCTGTCCTTTTCACCTGGCTATTAAACAGTCACCAAGTATTTATTTTGACCACCTCAGGGAAGATGTAAAATGTATTCAATATATTTTGTATGTTTGCCCCATACAGAAATTTGGGATGAATTTCATTAGCATGTTTTCTTGCTCTGGGCTTCAGAATGGGTTCAAATAACGTTCAAATATAACTAGGATAATAATAAAACATAATATCACTGTTACTGAAGGCTGTTCTCTCAGAGGCTCTAACCCACCGTCCCTGCATGATATCCCTCTGCACGAGCTAAAGACAAGCCTGCATAGATACAGAAGACTATTGTTCATCACAGCGAGATGTATCAACATTAGAACTTTGGTGGTAATTTTAATTTCTCTTTCTGGTCCTGAGGCTTATAACAACAAAAGTAGTACACAGCTGCTAAGGTATTATTAGTACGCAAGAGGTACCGAGCACTGCACCATACCAAGTGCACATAAACAACCACACTGATTAGCTGAGTTTCCACTTGTTTGCTTGATTATTGCGGATTTAATGGTGAAACCTTACATACCCGACACATGTTTTAAGACATAACAATGGTCTGCTTTGAAAAAAATATTTTGTGTCTCATTTGTTTTTTCCACAAAGAAGTTTAATGACCTTGCTACAAGTTCTTAAAATTACCCTACTCCATGTTGAAAAATCTATGAATATGCAAATTAAGCTTTAACTCCTTAATACAGATGTCTCCTAGTTTACTGAAATGGCCAGTGTATGTGTACTGGAGCCCTTGTGTCCACATTATATTTGTGCAATCTGTATACCGGACCACGATTGGCTGCCAGACCAGTTGAGACCAGGTGTTAAACTGAGAGGTAAGGTGAGCACAGAGAAGCAGGCAGGTGAGTGTGAAAACAGCCCTCTAGTGTCAAACTGCACAGCTCAAACAAGTAAAAACATTGAGTTTCCTCATTAAATAAAGTATATCTTCTTCTATTGGTTATTGGCAAACACATCTCAAATGTTGCTGCAAAATATTGTGCACCACTGGCATGAAACATGTCATCTCTTTCTTGCATGTTATCATCTTTCTGTGATTGAGGGCATGTTTTGCCTCATCATCTTGGGAATTATAGAAATAAGAAAATAAATAAGAAAATTGTTTTTAGTCACAAAAACATATTTTCATATTTTCTCCACTTCTCTCAAGTGACATTTACATCTACTTCACTGCTTTAAAAACAAACATACTACTCCCCAGAAGACTGAAGATAACCCAGAGACCTCAGTGCTGATTCCACTGATAACTGAAGTACAACCATTAAACAGTTCCACTGCTACTGAGGATGTTACAGGTATTTATTATCCCACAAGCAGCAGAGACCTCAAACACTCACCCTCTGTATTCCACTGACCCTTCAGGGATATTTTTCACGTCCCCTCTTCTCCCCTTACGTTTCCACTGTCAATACGTGCCAGAATAAAAACTATTCAACATCACCCAACCTGTCCATCTAAACAGCCTTCTCCCCTCAGTTCCAGCAAGGTGTCCCTCAGTAAACAGCAGATTGCTCTTAATGAGCCACTGCTAGGATCCGTTGAAGCACTGTGTGATTTGCTTCATCTTAAGTGCTTAGTCATTCCAATCTGTCATTAACTGAAGCAATAATATTGCTATTGCTATTTTGAATTAATTTCACCTGTACAGCAGTAGCACATGGGCCAGCTGACAGATTATCAGTTGATAATCATTAATGTCGGCTCAGTGGCGGTTTATATTTCTACTGACTAAGTCTACTTGTTGAATACTGACTTGTAATTGTAGTGACACAGCAGGAGCGGAGTCTCTGGCTGGATTCACACACCTAGAATCTTCACCTACTCAAAGCAGTAACCCGAATGAAGGATCTCTCATCCTTCATAATAGTTTTATTTGTTTGCAGAGATGTGCCTGAGGACCACAAAAGTGAATGTTATTAGAATGGATTATTAGTATCATGGCCAGATAGGCTCTTAAAATGGTGTCCAGGGAGTCTTAAAGCTTCATCAGTAGGTTCCACTGAGATGAAACATTGTTTAATTTCACTGTTTTAGTCTGTAACATGTGCCACAGTGTAATCATGTTTATTTTGATGATGTCTTTCATTCCTGTTAAAGTAAGAGAAAGTGCGAAATATAAAGTGTGTATTAAATCATGTGACTTTAAAATCCCAGCAGAAATCTTCTCACAGGTATTTAGAAGATTATCTAATCAAACAGCAGTTACAGGGGCTGTGAACCCATTTTCACATATTTTAGATAACTAAATTATTCTTGATGGGAACCCTTAAAGGGGTTTGTCCTGATCACAGAAGCTCATAAGGGTCTTTCAAAGCATCGTAGTCTCGTATCTGGTGGCTCCCTACACAAGAAGATTACGAGCATTTGAATACAAGCAAAAGTTTTTCCAGATCAAACTGAAGGACGTTGGTGTGGTCAAGAAACATTTGTGGTAACATGTTACACCTTGTAGATTTACATACCATACCATTTACTCAACATATTTATATATTTGCATCATTTTCCCAACTCAAAATCACACAAGTTGCGTAATTCTTTTCCAACATAGGCTTCATTCACCAAACACTGTCGCCTACCGTAAGGGTGGCTTCTTTGTTTCTGTCTTCTTTATACATGGTCTTGAATTAGTCATGGGACCTAGAAATACACAAAATTATAAACCATTATAAATTTTAGGTCATGATTAAAATCAGAAATTCACTTGTTAAATACTGTTGCAAAAACACATTAAACAGCATCAATTTTGGACCCAGGGTGAACACATTTAGAAAGTACTATATGGTAAACACATCTCCATTGAGCGACTAAAATCTAAAGCAGCACAATATGATCCTACAGATCCTAAAACTTCAATGAAGCAATACATCAGGGAAGAAATAGAAAAGCAAAAAAGTAAGGCAATCATAAACATTGTAAGCCATAAAATCAGTGATGATCATGGACCAGAACATGTTTTACTGCCAACCTGCTCCTTCAGATTTGTCAAGCTCCCGGAATAAGATCGTTATCTGATTAGGACAGAAAAACGGGAGACGTATTTTCACCCTTTTTAAATTCAATCTCATGTCTCCGAGGGCAACAAAGAAAAAGCATTGCATGACATTATTGAATTTCATTATGAGTTACATCCGTGATCTGCGGGAGGAGGGGGGGTCGTGACGTGTGCCGCCGGTCGGGGTCGGGCTGGGAGGACATAAAAGGTGGACGGAGTCCTCATTTCATCCGAACCACACAGCGTCACACACCCAGACCCACTTCTGCTGCTGACTCAGTGAGGAACAGAGACTCTCAACTCAAAGGTAACTTTCTGCTTTGTGCATTTTTTAGTCTCTTCAAAAGTTAGACTAAAAATGTATTAACTAACTACTCACTCTTTCTTAGCACGTTTCTATCGATATGTTCTGTTCTTTCTTTCTTTCTTAGATGCAGAGGTGCTTTGGGATTTTTTGCGTGTCGCTCATCTTTTGCGCAACTCTCTCCGAGTCCATCGGCTTGGTCATTGCGGTAAGCTGCTTAAGTTCAATAGGCCTATTCAGCGCAACTTTATTGTTATTTTGTCTAAAAAAAAAATGCGATTGTGTGCCAAATCCGTCAGAGATACAGTACGGAGGCAGACCATGTAGAATTAGGTACAATATAAAATACTTCAGCCTATTATTAAATTATATGACCACATGCAATTTACTATGTATAACAAACCTGGAAAGAGAGGCAATGCCACTTGGTAAGCTATTTAAAATGCTGTTGCAGGGTTACACATTAAAATGTGTAGTACGGTAATATAAGAATGGATGCCTGGAAGTGTTTTCCACAAAAGTCAAAAAGTGTATGCATACAGCGTTAGGCAAAGCCAGGCCCTGGCACAGGTCAGTTCGTCACATATTTAGCCAGACAAATTGAATTTATTGATGAGAGAAGTGAAGAAGCTCTGCTGGGACTGGTGGGTGCTTTCCTTATGATAAATGACATGGTCTGTTCTGTTTACCATGACAACAGAGCTTTCTGAGTAGTGATTTTTTAAGGGCAAAGATATCAGAAATCACAAACACCTAAGATAATAAAACAGCTTAAATTTGAATATCTATCAGGGAGTGGTAATATGGGAGTTGAGTTGATAATTGAATAGACGATCTCAGATAAAGTTGGCTGTTGGGTTTTACACCTGTGTATATGTGTGTTTTTCAAAATGATGGGGATTCCACTACATAAAGAAGTAGGAAAGAGGAAGAGGAGTTCATTTATTTATTTTCTAATTCATTCATAGGCTTCAAATGTACACTACTGTATCAGCATATTTTATATTCCAAAACACCTAAAGACATGTCAGAAACACTGAGCAGTAAACCTGTGTGATCTGATCATTGTGTGTCACTGGACCCTGCAGGCAAAGGAGAAGCGTGGCTGGACTCTGAACAGCGCTGGCTACCTGTTAGGTCCCCGTAAGTACTGACTGTGCACACACACACAAACACACACACACACACAGCCCACTGTTACACTGCATCAGTAATCAGCTGTTATTTAAAACTTTACTTCAACACATGTTCCCACGAGGTTACCTGTGCTGCCAACATGTCCAAATCATTTCTTTATCAGATCCTGTGAAAACACATTACACATTTTGGCTATTAAATTCTAACACACCTTTGTTAAGCTATTAACTTGGACAGATATGGGAGTCGTATCAATCATCTCATCTAACTCTTCGCAAGACAGTTAATAAGCCTGCTTCCCAAAATGTTAAACTTTGTTTTGATATAAAAAAATGGATCAATACAACCAAGTGTGGGAGTACATATCAACTGTTTATTGTTAAATAATTACTATATGTACACCTAGAAATCATTTTTAAAGCTTGTACACAGTTATAGAGCTGTGACTAATCTCTGAAATGCTTCCTGGGTCTTTACGTATCCCAGTGCTGGCCTGTATTGCCTAAAAATGTTGTCTATGTAGCATAGCTTACAAAAGAGACAGCCGAACTCATCTTCTGTGAATCTGATCTGTTTCTTTGTCCCTGTCTCCACTGTGTCAGCTAATTTAGTATAATTTAAAAGATTGCCTCATTACCTGTAGAGAACACATTAAGTGAACACTGGGTATCCAGATGTGTGTGTCTGTGTGTGTGTGTGTGTGTGTGTCTGTGTGTTCTTACCCATTAGTGGGTTCCAAATCAATCCAGAAAAGGAACCCTGGAAATGCTGTCCCTGTGTGTGTGTGTGTGTGTGTGTGTGTGTGTGTGTGTGTGTGTGTGAGAAGCCCAGGTAAAGGTTGCTCCTGCCTCATCCTGTGTTTCAGGTCGTATTGATCACCTAATTCAGATAAAGGATTCTCCCAGTGCCAGAGGCAGAGACGAGCTGGTCACTCAATGTAAGATAGAAACATACGGCCGCTGCAGGGCCTTGGTGTCAGGCCAGGAATTGCTTTGTCCAAACATCCCGCCTCTTAGCTGCTTCTGTCACTCATCAGGGGAGGACGTCTGTCATCCTACTGCTGTCTGCGCTTACGCATCCAAACACCTCATTTGTCTATTTGTTTACGTAATGTCGACAGAATGGGAGGAGGAGGAAAACACCCCCCTACTCTATCTTGTGAGCGTTAATGCATTGTTCTAAAATGGCCGCCCCATTCAGAGCTAGTACTACAGGTTAAATAGCCTAAAGTGGTGATGATGATTAGTTACCATATATGAACAAACAGTTAGCTGAATCTATTATATTAATGTTGATAATGGATTTTATTTAGATTTGGAAATTCCAACATCTCTCGCTTACGTTAACAGCATATACTATATGACATTACAAACAAAACTACTATACTATTTCAAACAACTCCCCATACCTCACATATGTGTTTCTGTTTAACCCAGAGTAGGATCAGAAGAGCAATATCAGTTTGTCTGTCCAGTACAGAGGTGCTGTATGTCCAGGATAGCCTAGCTTAACTGCATTAATAGTTAAAAAGATGCCTTTCATCGTTATGTTTTATATTGTACAGTATTGTATCATGTTAGCTCGATGTTAGCATATGCATACACTCTGTTTGCAGTGAATGTGTGTGCAAGGCAGCCTGTATAGCACATTTCAAACACAATTCAAAGTGCTTTACACTGGCATGGAAAAGCATTAGGATGACATTCAAAACAATAAGTTAATAATGTTTTAAACCAGTCATCTAGGGAGTTAAGACAGCCCAATGCAATGCTTTCAAAAATGAAAGTCTTCACTGCACAGAAACAGACCTGGAATGCAAAATGGGAAGCATTTTGTCCATGCAACAATTCCACAGTTAATACTGGAATGAATTCTTCATTTGGTTGTTGCATATTTAGTGCTGCTGTCATTTTTTTTGCAGTTTCAGAATGTGAGAAAACTGAACCTGAACCTTGGGTTACCCTTTCAGTTGTGGTTTGCATTCCTTATGCAGAGCTAGTTAGATATAAGGGCAGTGACACATTTTTGATGTGTTGGCTTTGCACTCCAACCCATTGGATTTGAAATGAAAGAATGACTGACTCTCATCTATAAGTTGTGGGTTCCATCCACATCAGATGAGCAGTGCAGTTATTGTATCCCTTTTTACACATAACCCCCCTATTTTAGGGGGACAGAAAGTAAGTGGTCAAGTTAACATAAACTTCAAGAGGTCATCATATTCAGTGTTTAGTGTTAAATCCTTTCCGTCAATGACTGTCTGATCTATGACCCAGACATCAGCAGTAACTTGGTATCTTCTCTGCTGACAGCCATCTTCTCTTTTTGCTTTGGTTTTGTGTGAAACACGTGATCAAAGTCAGCTCATGAAGCCTGTAGTCACCGTTTCTTTTTGAATCCAATGTCCAGTAGAGCCAACATAATGAAAATATAATACTCTTCTAACTGTTTCTGACTCCACTGCGTCTCTAACTCCCACTGTGGGAAAAACATCTAATAAGCATTATGTAGAAAATGTCCCTCTGTGGAGGGATTCAGTATTCTCTAAACTGATCATTTATTTATCACATTAACAATTCACTAAGAGTAATTTGCTTATTAACATAGCAATAAAGCTTACAAGGAATGTTGTTTAACTGGGCACTTTTGATTTTGATAATAAAAATGCATTGCATTTAACATTGCAGTATATATAATATTAAATGTGAAGACAAAACCACCAAGAGCTCATAGAGATAAGAGGAGCTTTTTATACTTGAAAGGCAAAACCATTAAAATACATAATTTTCCCCCACTCCAATGTCATGTATTTTAATCGGATGTTTAAGCATATAGTTCAACACACACGCAAAAAGTGCAAGGGCTACCAGCTCAAGCACTACTTTAGCTAATGAGGAAGCCCCTAAGATGAGTCAAACAATTCCACCACTTAGCCTAACGTTCCTCCTCTTCACCCAGAGAGCTGTGTACGGTGTGTGAACTTAAAGACAAAGACACATACCTGAAGAAGAACGGTGAGTTAGGAAAGAAAAATATGACAAATAATAAAGCTTTTTAATTTTTATTCTCATAGTACGGATTAAGCAAGGACGTGTTTTGCAGCTTTCATCATTGTTTGGATTAGTGCTCATAGAGGGGTTGCCGGGATGTTACACTCTCCTAACTCTGAACAAAACCCAAATTACACTTAGATGTATTGATTGCTAGCGTAGTTTATATGACAGTGTTGGAGGTTCTTTCTAGAACATTGTTCCCTTGTTACAGAGATAGGCTAGTTTCCACCTGCTTGCAGTGTTGTGCTAAGTTAGGCTAAACATTTGGAACTGACTCATCGACCGCGTGGGAGTTCCACAAGGTCGCACAGAAAAGCTCAGGGAAGTGGGAAGTTCAGAGACTTTTCTGTACTCAAACACTAGACATCTACACAGACAACGAACCCTTTGCGTACCCATGTCTTTGAGAGCCAACCTGCACCGCACTGGTATTGCCAAATTTGAGACATGATTGAGGCCATCTTTTTTGCATAATTTTTTAGTTCACCAGGCTAATGCCAAAGCATTGCCCTCAATCACAGCCAGATTAAGTGCATATCCATTTATATGTAAGATAAAAAAGTACACACATGACATGCACCAAACAACTGATTAAGTCAGAGAGAGAAAAGGGACATTTCTGATTAAGTTCTATTTGAAAATAACCTCCACAGCAAAAAAGGTGACTGTGGCCAGGTAGCAGAACGCTACTGGACACACATAGATGACAGCATTTTTTTTTAAAATGACACAAAATAATCAACTTCAGCCTGTATGTTCTGGATGTGTCCTTTAAAAACCACCATTGGTGATGGACATGTTTGCTTTGTTCTGGTCTGTTACACAGCAGAGCTGTCATGAACCACTAAAACTGATTTGAACACATGGGGTTATATAGGATGAGGACTTTGAACTCCGTCAGTAACATCTCCCTATGATCTGTAGGCCCATTGAAACTTTGTGCCACTTTTAAAGTGTGTAGCCTGCATAGGAATATACTGAGAAGTAATGATGCACCCACCACCATGGCTAAGCAAATCGCTTTGATTGTCCATTATTTTACTTTCATTTTTTTCATCATTATTATTCTAATGCATTCCCTTGTGTGTTTAAACTACAGTTGATCCTATTTTAAATGTGTGCTTTTTCATACCTTCTTCTGTTGGTCAAATCTCTGTTTTACTGCAATTCCGTGAGCCAAGCCCTGCAGGTGGTCCGTAAAAGTTTGGAAATTGAACCAAACAATAACAAAGCAAATACCATGCCAACAATGTCCTTAGCTCTTCTTACAAGAATTAGGTGGAGGTGTGCCACGTGTTCACTGTGTATGCATGTGTGTCCAATGTGTGATGCTTCTGAAACAGTGGGATATTTAGCAAATATGTGTGTATTTTGGAGATTATGTTAATTTAGCACAACTGTTAATTCAAGTAATTTACTATTGCAAATAATAATAATAAAAACAGTTCATTCACAGCTGATATATGGGAAACCCTGAGCAGCTGAAATGATTTTCTTGAAAATTAGACATAGCGGTAATAATTTTATAACTGCAGTTTATATTTCATGGTGAATTTGCTGAATTTCAAAGGAACTGAGTTTAGGGCTGCAGTGCACTCAAATGCTCGGCTGACCCATCTGCTGTTTGTATGACTGTACGACTGTGATCACTCCTCATTGTCCAGATGGAATAGATGGACACAGGACACTCGGAGATAAGCCGGGTCTGGCTGGCAAGAGGGACATGGGCCAGGAGGAGGACTTCAGAACAGGTCTGTCTGTCTCTCACACACAGAAACAGGACAACCTTCCTCTGTCTATTGTTAGAAGATACACCTGACTGATGATTTTGATGAATGTTCTGTTGTGCACCTGTAAAAACTGCTCCCTCCCTGCAGCTCATTGTTGATGTTTTTTAACTTTACTGGCCTCAAATGAGTATCAAAATATGGACCATCGTGTGATGTTACTGAGCACTTTAACAAAATCAAGTATTTCCGTGTTCCATAGAACCCGTGCTTATGACAGTCCATTGACAGCCATAGATACCAGATTTTGTTCAGGATGTTTCCACAAATATAACAAAAATGCTTCTGAAATAAATGAACTACCTGAGCTTTAAAGCACCATCATGTAATATTTGGTGTAGTTTGGCGCCTCTGCTGTTTCAGTGTTCTTCACCGCTGTTGTAAATAAGGACAGCTGTACATGTGCATTTGTTTTGATTACCTTACTTATGATCAAAAACTAGCAAGTTGCTAACTTTGCTAACACAGCCAAACATCAACCAAGTGTGACAACACAAGACAGCAACATTACTGACTAGTCCAACAGAAAGAAGGCCAGCTCTGCCTGCCTTGCAGCCATTCAGCTCTTTTAGTTCACGCCAACGAGTAAAAGCCAGTCTGATATTTACTCTTGTACGGTCTCTCGCTCGGTCACTCTCTCTCTTTCTCTTCCTCACTTCCTCCAACAACACCTTCTTCTGGCTCTTCGCAGCCTCTGCCATGATATCCACACTGAGGATTCTGAGCTAGCTTCTTGTACATACTTTTTGCTTCTTCCTCTTCTTCTAGCCTGGAGTGGCAATGACAAGTCATGTAGCATCCCAATGATTTTGAAGCTCTTATTTTAACATAAAATTACTACATTAAGTTCTTTTAACATGATGAACAGCAGGGCTATTGCTACATGCTGACACTCCCCTCTCAGCCTCTCTCCCAGCTGCAACACATGATCATGATTCTTTAAAAACATTGATTCAACACAGAAGAACTCATGTTGAAGTTCTGAAATGGGTCTGAAAACGAAAACTAGACAGTTGGCTGAAATTTTAAAATGTGTATATTTACATTAAGTCAATAAAGCAACCACCTACATCCCTCTGATGTTAGTGGTTAGTTAGTTCACTGGACCTTCCCAGAACGCTGATTTGCTTTTTGACAAAACAAGCATCGGTTCAGTTTTCTCTGTAATTCACATCTTTAAAATTAATTCTTCCAAGACATCTTGGCTTCTGGAGATATTCATTTCCCTACGTGTTACCAGAGCTCCAGTCAAACTTTACACCATACTACCAACTTCACATAACACGCGTCACTTTGTTGCTTTACCTTCACAGGTGCCCTGAGAATAGCAGATGGAGACATCATCCACACTGTCATTGACTTCTTGTCATACCTCAAACTCAAAGGTATGCGTATCATGTCTGTTCTAACTAACTTGACCAACAAAGACATCAAGCAAACAAGCTATATTGCTAATGTGTGACTGTTTTATTCACTTTATAACAGCCCATTAATACAGGACTCCTTCTAGTGGAGTAAAAAATGTACTGTTGTACTCAAGATGCCACTAGGGGAAGGGTCAATGGGTCATTTAAAGTGTTTATCCCCTTTGCATGAATGAGCTCAGAAAATGACATGCTGATCTGCTTGTTAGACTGTAAGATATATTGTGTACAAGTGGAAAATGTGTCCTCATGGTGGGCACTGGAGGAGAAGTCAGGAGGTCACTAAAATGGCCATGAATCTTCATTTGGATGTAATGAAAATCCTTCAGTAAATACCATTGAAATCTAGTCAGTACTTATATCTTACAGATATATCTATCTATAGAGATATCTTATATATAAAAATGTGTACTGGATAAACAGACTGACTGAGCTGTCCATAGGCCCTGGTGGACTTTGAAGTGTATAATAGCTTTGACGTCGGTTGAACTGACAAATTTCTTGTCTAGTAATTGTCTCTGAGCCCGAAGACATCCAGCTTTGTGTATGTGTTTACAGAGATGGGAGCCTTGGACAGCCTTCCTTCCTCTGTGACATCAGACGAACTGGCCAATCCCTAATGATTCTGCCTCTCTGCATGTTATCTCCATCTACCCAAGTCTATGTTTCTGCTGTCTGGGCTCCCACTGCCCTAAATGTCACCTTACTGTAGCTCTTCACACTCTGATGCTGGATTTGTCCTGGTACTAAAAGAGCTGATTCTGTAACTCTTTATGACAGATTGATTGTCCCCCAAAAGAAATATCAGATCTTTCTTCTCCTGTGTAAATCTAATGTTATATCCACTGAAGGTCAGTGAGTGTCTACTGACTAGGTGGATCTAGGTAACAGAGACGTCTATTCAGAATCAAACACTGTATTTTCACCTTAATATACCATCATCTCATTTAATAAAATGGAGTGAAATAAACAAACAAATGGCACTGGACAACTTGAATTTCTTTCTCTCCATTAGTCATAGTCATAATTATCACTTAGATTTCAGCTGCATTTGAGTAAAAACAAAAAGAAGCAAGTAGTACATGTTTCACCTTGCTCATTCAGTAAAATGTCACTGAACACTGGATTTGTTATGAGAACGAACAACAAAAACAGACCTTCAGATTGTCTTTAAGGGAAATCAGTCTTGGAGAAACCACATTTATTTGAAAACATGATACATGGGTACTTATGTTTCTCTCTTAACTGTAGTTTAATGTCTTGTTCTTGTTTCATTATTATAATGTACTTGAAATTACCGTAGATCCTCTCTACACTTTGGGTTCATCATCAGGTTCCTGAGGAGTATTATCTTAACCATCAAAGTCAGTGAGATGATTTTGGTACACGTGCATTCATTATTACTTAGATACATTTTATGTCTGTTCCTTTGCCTAACTATGTGGAAGCACGTTTCTGCAAGACGTGAAAAAATACATGACATGTTGAATGAAAAAAAAATGTTAGCTTTTTTTCTCTCATAACTGTGACTTTACTATCTCAAAATAATGACTTGGTATTAGTAATTCGGTAAGAGTTGTCTTTTTAATATTGTGGTGAGTTTGTTCAATTAAAGCCATTAAAAAAAGTGCACCAAGTCTGTTTAAACTTTTTGTATTAATGTACTAAAATCTTGTGAAGCTCTAAAATGTCTATCGTCAGCACACAACAATGAAAAGGTATGTTTGTAAAGAAAAAATAGGCAATGACATTGATCAAGAATAGATCCTTGTGGCATATCTTAAAGCTTGATATTTTTGACATGTAATCATCAATACATACAAATTGTTCTGTCGATATCTAACAAACAGTTTATCAATGTTTTTTGTGAACATTTCTTGTAATCCAGAGCAGAATAAGATGCATAAGAACAATTTCAGTAGTGTTTTTTTTCTCCCCCAAAAGCCAAACTGATGTTTATACATAGTGTTGTTTATAGTTAAATGATGAGAAATGCATTAGATTGTAGCTAGTATATGTATCAAGTTGTTTACACTACACCAGGACACACTGTTTTAATTATATTCTTTTATTATATAGAGAAGGTTTTTATTACAGTGTTACACCCAGTGTTTCATTTTACCATGGTATGTTCTCTCCACGGTAGTCCTTGAATCCTCCATGGTCTTTATCTGTGAGATTGGAGAGAACAGCCAGCAGTCCAGAAACACTCTCCTCTACTGTCAAGTCAGCCTGAAACACAGAAACACGTGCTCATAGGAAGACTTTGATAAGTGATAAGCCACAAATAACACTAACTCAGTCTCACATTCACACCCAATAGCTATTTAACAAGATTCAGTCTGACACTGCATTCATTTTGCGTCAGGGAAGGATTTTATTTAGCCAGAACATATTAGTGGTATCCAGATGCCCTGACATCATCTGTCAACACTGACGCTGTCCACTTAGCATCAGTTACGTTAAAAGAGACAGCAGTTACTACTGAAAACTGTTGATGCTGGTAAAATGAGAGGCAACACATGACAAGTTCTCTTGATCTTGGGGAAAAACTGCTGAGTCATGCACAGTTGGTCATTTCATTAGCAAGGAAAAAAAATAATTAAACATTAGTAATAATGACAAACAAAATATTGATGAGTGATGACTCCCAACAAAACAAAGAGGGCACAAGCAGGAGACAAACAGGATAAAAATAATATAATCAAATCTCATAGATAGAGAGATAGAGTCCTGCTCAGGGACACATTGGTGGATGTCAGGGTGGGATTCAAACCCAGGTCTCCCACACCGAAGGCATGCTTCTTATCCACTGTACCATCACCACTCCAGGATGTGATACAACAATACAGAGACCAACTCATCAACCAGCAGCCCTACAGCATCTCTTGTGGTTCACAAACTCCACAGCTTTTCTTTAGCATTGTTCTGCTGCTCCCACACTGCGTTAGCTGCTGTTCCATGGAACAAATTAAAGATTACTGGGATAACACAAGGCAGAACAGATGTTTTGTGAGAGGAGCAGGACTTTCACAGTATCTAATATGATAACTAGATAGCTAGCACAGCAAGCTAGCATATTACCAAGCCCATTTAGCCATGCTGTCTTCATTAGCCTGTGTTGCTAATGCTGCATCATACATTCTCTGACAAACAAATAAGCCAACTGTTTGCCAACAACATCTTCAGCCTGCAAGTACCCCAAAAATCTGCTAATGCACCTTCAAGTGTGGAAATGACAGAATACTTACATCAGGCCCTCCCATGTCAGTCTTGACCCAGCCAGGGTGTAGGGACATACAAAGGATTCCATCTGACCCCAAATCAGTAGCTAGACACCTTGTCACCATGTTCAGAGCTGCCTATGATAGTTAGAAAGCAAAGTTTTGGTAAGCAAAAAAGAGAACCTTACCTCCTATTCTATGGATTTCAAATGCAGACACAAATGAAAAGCACCACTTTATTCACAAAACTCAATTCTGCTTGATTATTTTGTGTACCAAAATTCTGTGCGCTGACCTTGGAGGTGCGGTAGGAGTAGTTCTTAAAGATGGCACCTTCCCCCCAGTTCTGTGTGATGGAGCCGAGAATGGAGGACATGTTGATAACAGCTGCTCTGTGGAGCCCCATCCCGGTCGACTGAGCTGCAGCAGTCTGCAGCAGCGGCAAGAAGGCCTGGATGCAAGAGCAACAGGCAGAAATGATCAGCCAAGAAGAACACAGAAGAGACAGAACAGCGACGCCAAGAGCAGAAAGCCATGGCAAAAAAACAAAAAAAACAAACAAATCAAGCCTACAAAGAAACAGTTCAAAGAGCAAGATGAAAGCAGGAGATAATCTGGATAAAGATCAAAGTAGGCTACTGGAGAGTTTTTCATGTGTACTAACTTTGATAGACAGTGTTGTTAAACTGTTCGGGCTATTTAAGTCATAAATAGAGAAGATGGAATCAAAAGATCATTTTCTAAGGGGGCCTGTGGTGTAGCCTTTCAAAGAAATGTGCTGTAAATACACACACTGAACAAGTAATGTTAAGTAACAGGTGTACCTAATAAAGTGGCCGGTGAGTGTATCTACACATACATACGCATTTACACTCACCAGCCAATGTATTAGCTACGCCGTGTTAGTACCGGGTTGGACCCCCTTTTGCCTTCAGAACTGCCTTAATTCTTCACAGCATACTTTCAACAAGGTGTTGGAAACATTCCTCAAAGTTCAGTGAACTCATTGTCATGTTCAAGAAACCAGTTTGAGATGATTTGAGCTTTGTGACGTGGTGCATTATCCTGCTGGAAGCAGCCATCAGAAGATGGTACACTGTGGTCATAAAGGGATGGACATGGTCAGCAACAATACTCAGGCAGGCTGTCACGTTTAAGCAATGCTCAGCTGGTACTAAGGGGCCCAAAGTGTCGTAGAAAATATCCCCCACACCATTACACCACCAGCAGCAGGCTGAACAATACAAGGTACAACGATACAAGGCAGGATGGATCCATGCTTTCATGTTGTTTATATCAAATTCTGACCCTATCATCTGAATGTTGCAGCTGAAATCAAGACTCATCAGACCAGGCAACATTTTTCCAATCTTCTGTTGTCCATTTTTGGTGAGCCTGTGAGAATTGTAGCCTCAGTTTCCTGTTCTTGGCTGACAGGAGTGGCAGGTATTCTGCATACCTTGGTTGTAACGAGTGGATATTTGAGTTACTGTTGCCTCTATGTCATCTTTAACCAGTCTCTGCTCTGACACCAACAAGGCATTTTTCCTGGATATTTTCTCTTTTTCGGACCATTCTCTGTAAACCCTAGAGAGGGCATGCAATTATAAAAATGGTGAACAGAAATAAACTATAATCAGTGGATATAATAAGTATTTGTAATGCACTTTATATTTAAACAAATCCCAGATTGCTACATGAAACTGTCTCCATAATAAAAGCTAATGGGGAAAATCACACATCATGGAAAGAAATCTAATAAATAAAGAAAGTTGATTGTGGTCCTTTTGTTGCTCAGACTAGACAGTGAATCATAAAACACATCAAATATAAAAACTTGTGATCACTCCAATATGAAACTACAGTGATGTTCTGATGTATCAGATCAGTCCGATCAGCTGCAGCATCCAATCAATAGCGGATATCCAATAAGGGGGCCAGTAAAAGACTTCCGTGAGGCTGCTCTCTGTAGAGATGATTAAAAAGGAGGTCCCACCAGATGGCAGTGTTGTGTCACCTGAGTTGTCTGTCTCAATGCCTGAACCCACATCTGTGGTTTGCAGGCTTCCCTTCATCATGCAGACAATGCACACTAGTTTAAGAGTACAGAGTAAAGACTTCTGGTGTTTAAAATAAATTTGGTGATTATGTCAATGAACTATAACACAATGATTAATTAGAGCATTGTCTGTGTGATGTGTTATTTTGAAGGGACAGCAAATTTACACACAAACTTGGATATTATATTCATTCATTCCACACAGACTGATATATTTCAAATGTTTATTTCATTTAATTGTGATGATTAAAACTGACAACTAATGAAAATCACAAATCCAGTATCTCCGAAAATTAGAATATTACTTAAGACCAATACAAAAAAGGATTTTTAGAAAATGTTGGCCAACTGAAAAGTATGAACATGAAAAGTATGAGCATGTACAGCACTCAATACTTAGTTGGGGCTCCTTTTGCCTGAATTACTGCAGCAATGCGGCATGGCATGGAGTCGATCAGTCTGTGGCACTGCTCAGGTGTTATGAGAGCCCAGGTTGCTCTGATAGTGGCCTTCAGCTCTTCTGCATTGTTGGGTCTGGCGTATCGCATCTTCCTCTTACCATGGTCTTTAAACCAGGTACTGGTAGCTTTGGCACTGTGTGCAGGTGCCAAGTCCTGTTGGAAAATGAAATCTGCATCTCCATAAAGTTGGTCAGCAGCAGGAAGCATGAAGTGCTCTAAAACTTCCTGGTAGACGGCTGCGTTGACCTTGGACCTCAGAAAACACAGTGGACCAACACCAGCAGATGACATGGCACCCCAAACCATCACTGACTGTGGAAACTTTACACTGGACTTCAAGCAACGTGGATTCCGTGCCTCTCCTCTCTTCCTCCAGACTCTGGGACCTTGATTTCCAAAGGAAATGCAAAATTTACTTTCATCAGAGAACATAACTTTGGATCACTCAGCAGCAGTCCAGTCCTTTTTGTCTTTAGCCCAGGCGAGACGCTTCTGACGCTGTGTCTTGTTCAAGAGTGGCTTGACACAAGGAATGCGACAGCTGAAACCCATGTCTTGCATACGTCTGTGCGTGGTGGTTCTTGAAGCACTGACTCCAGCTGCAGTCCACTCTTTGTGAATCTCCCCCACATTTTTGAATGGGTTTTGTTTCACAATCCTCTCCAGGGTGCGGTTATCCCTATTGCTTATACACTTTTTTCTACCACATCTTTTCCTTCCCTTCGCCTCTCTATTAATGTGCTTGGACACAGAGCTCTATGAACAGCCATCCTCTTTAGCAATGACCTTTTGTGTCTTGCCCTCCTTTTGCAAGGTGTCAATGGTCGTCTTTTGGACAGCTGTCAAGTCAGCAGTCTTCCCCATGATTGTGTAGCCTACAGAACTAGACTGAGAGACCATTTAAAGGCCTTTGCAGGTGTTTTGGGTTAATTAGCTGATTAGAGTGTGGCACCAGGTGTCTTCAATATTGAACCTTTACACAATATTCTAATTTTCTGAACACTTGAAATACTGTATATCAGTCTGTGTGGAATGAATGTATACATTATACAAGTTTCACTTTTTGAATGGAATTACTGAAATAAATCAACTTTTTGATGATATTCTATTTTTTTAAATTTTTTTTATTTATTTATTTTTTTAAAACCTGTCCTGCCCAGCAGCCTGGTATAGAGTATAATGACCTGGATACCATATTGTGCCAGACAGATTTTACTTCAACAAGAGAGTATTAAAATACTCCTTTGTCTGTTTTATTATTTATTTAATTATGTATTGATTTGTCACCGGGCCAGACGGGGGGGCAGACACAGGGATGGGGGGTCACAAACAGACAGCACAGAGAAAGGACAACACCTGTAAGAGAAGGGGGAAAGGGGGATGGAAGGTGAGGACAACAGGGAAAAGCTGTGGGAAACACCAATTGCAGAAAGCAACGAAACCTGCAATAGAACAGAGAGGTGGGCTTGGGGAGGAGAAAAACAACAACAAACAAACACAAACAAAAACAAACAATAAAAATAATAATAATAGTAAAAGACAACCAGCCGAACAGCAGCAGACAACTAAGAGAAAAATGAAAACAAGAAACAGTCACACACACTAAATAAGCAACACAACACAGCCACGAGAGCTGGAATAATAATTAATTTAAATAAGTAACTGAAAGAAAAGCATCAGGAATAATTCTACCAGGGACAACCTAAGTTTGTTTGTGTCTATGTGTGAGACTGTGTGCGTCTGTGTGCGTGTGGGTGAATGTGTCTGTATGTGTGTGTGTGTGTACATGTGTGTGCGCATAAGCCTGTTAAAGAATGTAGTTGTTAGTGAGAGTGGGACGCCACGACTGTAACAGGCAGGCAAGAACCCCAGTAGCCAATAGGGGTGGGAGAAAGCCCATGGGCCATGCACCCCAGAGACTCCCGAAGGATATTCTGATATTCTAATTATATGACCAACACCTGTAAGTCCTTGTTCTGTGCAAAAAAGTTAAATATAACATACCAGGGTTTCTACACATTTTCCATTTCAAAATCCCAGACTTTTCCAGACATCTGCATAGTAGCTGCCAAACCTTTGTTACTGCTTGTATTAATGGATAATGCTGTCCATTAACCTTATTCTAGGCCTTACGAGCCTAGAATGCCTTAGTTCTTATTATTACTTAGTAGTTTAATGTTTATTATGGTGCAATGTAATATCGCTAATAATTGTATGGATATAAAGTACAGAATGTAGTGCTTGCTAGTTAATTTAAGCCATTAGCCTTAATGAAGAAGAGAGGAATTCTGTAGCTTAGAAATACAGTATATGTTTAGATGATTTAGCAGGATGTCTTATTATTGGAGTAGTGAGCTAGGATGATTAGATATTCCATAGCTCTGACTAACCAAATCTAACTGACATCAATATTGTGAACACAATAAAAAACGAGAACACTTCTGACTCTTCAAATGTTTGTTTTTTTCTGGTTAAGTTCATAAAACTTTCAACGTACCGACAAATGTCGGCCTACCTTTGTGACGAACAGTGGTGCAACACTGTTGACCTGGAAGGTCTCCATCATGGCCTCTGGGGTAACAGTGTTTATGTCTGTAAGGAGTCCGATGGCAGCGTTATTGATCAGACAGTTCAGTCCGTTATTCCTTACAATGGACTGGACCTCCTCCACGGCTGAGCGGATACTCTGCTGGCTGTCCACGTCTGGTGAAATGACAGGAAACTTTAATATAAACAGGACATTCTTCATAGTTCTCAACCACATAAAATTTTTTAGTTAATGGTCTATCAATGACTGACACTACCCTGACAACAGATGTTACATGATAGCCGTGCAGTCACGTGTATGAGTGGAGCAGAGATGTTTCTTTCTTTTCTTTTAGCCCAGACAGTCTAAAAAATTAATTAGATAGATCATTTTGGCAGAACTGTACTAGGTCCATTCAGGCAACAAGGAGCCAATTAACTGAGATGAGTGCAAGCAGCAGAGGAACTCACTATTTAATCAGTGATTATAAATTAAAACTACTTATGTTGCAATAGAATATACAAAGCTGCAGTCATTTAAATACAGATAGTAAAATAACACATTGTATGCAAGTTGTATACTGTATCCATGTAATATCTTATGAGCAGACTCACCTAATGTCACAATATGAACCCCTGGATAGGTTTTGGAGAGCTCTTGCAGATCCTAAATTATCAAGGAAATTGAGTGAGTAGAAATCATTGAGGAAGTTTATTCATAAATGTATAGTAATGATCACCTTTGAATGCACAATTGAGTTCCACTGTAATGTTTACTTAGTAAGCCAATGTCAAAATGTGCAAGTTTCAGCTGTCCTGATGACCATGTCCTGGATGTATGATCGGCCCATGCCATTTGCAGCCCAGTAGGCAAGTATCAGTGTCCTGAATCGGGTTCGAGCAGCCACCGGTAACCAGTGCAGGGTGCAGAGGAGCAGTGTAGCGTAGGGGAACTTGGGTAGGTTGAAGACCTGCATTCTGGATGAACTGCAGAGGTGGGATGGCACATGCAGCCACCAGGAGCTTTGAAGTAGTCTAGGCGTGTTCCTTATAAAAATGTTCTTAGATTTATATTTGTGCTTCTTATAATTGATTCTTAAAGAGGTGGTATTCTGCTCATTTTCAGGTTCAAACTTGTATTTAGGAGTTGTACCAGAACAGGTTTACATGGCTTCATTTTCAAAAAACACCATATTTTTATTTCAATATTGTGATTGTGATTAAATATGTGATTATTTTTTATTAAATGACAATAAACTAGTGGACGTCAAGCAGGAGAATCCACATGTGAGGTGTGTCTCACTCTCTTCTGTAGTGCCGCTGGCTACGCACTCCAAATATGACATCCAGACTTTTGTCAAATGAGAATATAAAAGTTTTCTCTGTCCCAGGGCTGCCACATTCCCTAAAACCTGTAGACCGTCAGCCCTCCCACCCCGCCTGCTTTTAACCTGATGGTTTGATCTCTGTCTGTCATCTCGCCACGGTTGGTTGCATGGTTGGTTGCATGGTTGGTTGCATGGTTGGTTGCATGGTTGGTTGCATGGTTGGTTGCATGGTTGGTTGCATGGTTGGTTGCAACACACACGTTCCACGACCTTTAGTCAGTGCGTGAGTGTGCGTGGCTGAGCAGAGTGGAGAAAACATGCACAGGAGAACGAGAGAAAGAGAAACGGCAGAGCTGAGCACAGAAGAAAAAGTCAGAAGGACTAAATGAAGTGTCACTAAATGCTGTAAAAATTACAGATATTACAGAAGTTAAATGTTTATGAATTTTATTAGAAAAACATAATTTGTTCATCTTTGCTCATTGATTATATTGCATAGAATTTTTTCTACTCTGTATTGCGGTTTTTACTGCTGTTGTAAATAAATATTTAAACAGTGTTTCTGATGCCAGGTTTTTTCTGTTTAGTTTATATCTTCAATTATCCTTCTAATACGAAGCCGTAAGCAGCCATCTATTCAAATATTTTTTTTACTCCATTTTCCGTGATAACAAGATAATTACTCATGATCTTGAGATAACAAACCATAGCTGAATACAGGGGTCGGCAGGTGCGTTTGTTTAGGAGAATTTCAAAAATATTTTAGTGTCACTGGTTAGCTCAGTTGGTAGAGCAAAAAACTTGTAATACAAGGATTGCATGTTTGCTTTCTTCTTTAGTGTGTTTTTTGTTATCCTCTTCAACAAAGTTGTTATGAAAGGATTCAGGGGAATCCAATCACACATTTCCCAATGGCTATTTCAAAGGTTCCGAAATACCCGTCAGAAACTGTGTAACTTTAAATGGATTCCCCTGAATGAGAAGCGCAGGAAATTCCTCTGCCTGGGAATGATGGGTATTTGAAAAGTCCATAGGTTGATGGACGTGGACCAATCGCCCGGACGCACAAAGTCCAGCACGTGCTTTATTGTGAGCATGTGAAACAGTGTCTTCATAAGAAATTTGTTGAAGAGAAAAGATAAAATAGAAAGAAATAAGCCTTCAGTGAGGGTTGAACACACAACCCTTAGACCATGAGTCCAGTGTTCTACCAACTGAGCTAACCAGTGATACTGGAAAACACTGAAAATACCATTAAGAAACATTCCCACTACTATTGAGATCACAAGAAAATTGTCCCATCATCACGGGGAAACAACTTTCATTATCTCGAAATAATTATCACAGGAAAACGAAGAAAATCAATTGAATCAAAGGCCGCTTAGGGCTTCCATTTTCTACAACCACGCACCAGTTTTATTATATGCAATAAGAAGCTACTTTTTATGTCTTTATCTTTATGGACTAGCCTACATGTTTTCAGAAAAACAGAGCTTTACACAAACATTTGGCTAGTGAAAATGCTATGCGTCTAGTAACTTTGGAAAACCATTAGTCACAGTGACTGGTGAGCAAAAAAGCCCTGGTTGTGCACTTTCAGAAACGTCATCAAGCTCTCTCTTCCAAAGCAGTTTCTTGGGTTTCAATGGATTTTGATTGTGAAAAAATTTCTTAAATAAACCCACGTAAATATTTTATATGCAATTTGATTACAGGCATGATTAATAGATTACCCACTGCAGGCATAATACAGGCAAGGGCAGCGTGTGCGGTTAGGTGCTTGGGTGTGATGTTGCAGCCTTGCAAAGTGAGGCTTGCCAAACAATACTACTAGAGTGTTAATCTCATAAATGTATGACTATAATGTCCGAGAATACTCGAGTTTTTATTTACTTTTATTATATTTTACCATATTAATCTTGGAGTTTTTCCTCAGATTACATCCCTCCTGTGTTTTTAAACCTGTAAGGGCCCCAATTCGCAGTTATAGCTTTACAATCATATTCCAAATGAAAGAAGAGTCCCTAAGACAAAATAGAGAATATAGAACAAGAGCAGGAATGACTGTCCTGCCAGCGTGATCCCCGGCTTTGATGACCGCCTTGGTGTGTTAGATAACCTTTTACACTCATTAAGTCCTGACACCATCATCGTGCATTATTCTGCGATAAAATACAAGCAATTACTAAAAAACTAAATTCTAGCTGCTGTGCATGCCTTTCGCACGCGCACATGCTGCAATCTACCAAATCAACTAATCAGTCTTTTTCGCCATTGGAGTCCCTTTTAACACCAATCTAGTCAGTCAGTTTGGACAACCCGGACGAACAGGTTAAACTTTGTTCCTGGTCCTCAGGGATCCGTAAAGAACAGTGATACAATTTAGAAAAACAAGTGCACTCATTTGCAACAGGACAACAGCGGCAGCCACTTTGCAGCTCGGTGTTTCGATCTTGAGTCTGGCGAAGTGTGCAACAGACAAAACAACTAATGTCAGGACTCGTGTGCACTGATGTGAAAACCAAAGTTAGGTAACGTTAAGTTAGAGGTTTATTTACCACAGATCCAGTCGGATTGCGGGCTGTCGCTATGATTGTAGCGGGTCTGTTGCTGCTTTTAGCCAGCTCTTTCACCAGCTGTAATCCTATTCCTCTGCTGGACCCCGTTATCAACACGGATTTCCCGAAACTCGCACTCATGTTCAGACTGTTTCACTGCGGAGTCGTCAGTCCGCGTTACCTCCGCACCGTAAACCAAACTACACTGTTCTTGAAGATCAACGTCAGCACGCTGGGTTGGTTCATGCTGCCTTTAATGCTGCTCGTAAATCTGAACACACTCTCTTTTAAAGCAGTGCTGCCCTTAGGTTTTGTGAGAAACGTTTTTGTCTGAAACAGCTCTGATTGAAACACTTTTATTCAGTCCATTTGTTAAAAGACATACCTTTCATTAAGGTGAATAGTTAGTTATTCAAAGAACATTAGAAATGCTACTATATGAAATACAATGATAGCCAACAATGCAAAACAACAAGGCCACAGTAAAACAGAAAAGGATAAAAGTACTGTAGCGTCCCCCATTTAAAGACTTAGCCCAGCCCATAAAACTTCATATCTTCACATAATAATTGACTCCAGGCCTGCCCACAAAAATGACTGGGCCCCTGAAAAGGTCCAGTTAATGGGCCCTCCCTAAATCTGCTTCACTCATGTCAACGCATGCTGTGCTCTCTCTCTATCTCCTACATAAACACAGACATGGGCTGCTGCATGCGGCACACTTTTGATGTTCGGATGTTGGGTACAACAAACATTACTCATACCATTTTCAGGAGAGGGGGTTTTCATTATGAAACAGGCTATATTTTACTAAAGAAACATTAAATAAATTGTAATTTTTTGTAATGTAATGGTGAGTATTTTGATTCAAAATAAAATTTGGTTTGTTTGTTGATCATTAGTGCTGCTGGACTGAGATTTTATGACCTTGTAACTGATTATTTATTTCCATCTTAAATGTGCAATTGTACTACTGCCTGCCTTGGCCAGGACACTCTTGGAAAAAGAGATTTTCTGGTTTAATAAAGGTATAATAAAACAATTTAAAATCTAAAATGCAGAGCAGCTCTCAGGGTTGCTTTCAGATATGTTTCTCCTGTAGATCAACTTTTAATATCATCACTGCTGAATCAACACACACGCAGACGTGACTGATTGAGGTAAACTATTTAAATGTGCATGTGGCACCTTTTTACGTCATCAATAAAAAATTCAATCATTTTAATTCAGTTAGAAACTCCTGGACTTTAATAGCTCCTGTGTTTCAGCAGGTTTTCTGCTCACGTTCAAAGTTCTGCACATTCAGAATCTAACTGGGTTCTCTGACGTTTCCAGAATAAAGGATATTTTGAGAGGTCAAACAGGATAAATCATCATAAACTTTGCAATTAATCTGTGGTCCATCTGCGTGCCGCACCGTGTGGAAGTGATCCATGGTAGTGTGTGGATTTAATTCTTGCATGTTTTGTTGTGCAGGATCACAGCCCTTATGTGTTCACATGAGGAAAGTTCAAGATAGGCTATCAGAGTAAAAATGGACTGTCTATTGCATCAGACCAGGCAACTTATTATATATATATTATAAAATATTCCTGCAAAAGCTGATTATCTGTAATTTAGCTGTTTTCCTTTTTCAAGATCACTTTAAAGTATCACTTTTGCTGCCCAGCCAATTTTTGTTGCCTGTGCTTTTTATTATGGACATGTAGCCAACCAAACCAGGCTGCCAAGACAATCTGATTATTCCTGAAACATCTAAATAATGTTCACAATGCAAAGAATTTTTGTGGCTTCAGCTAGAAGTAACAGCAGCACAAAAGAAGAAGCTGCACCGGCATCGAGCAACTTTATTTTCCTCCCTCAACATTTCTATCGGCAACATTTTGTGACTGGTCTCTTAGTAAACCGCCTCCTATATGAGCCAGCTCCGAAATCGCCTGAGCCAGGAAGGCAATGCCAAATAAAACTTTACATTAGGAAAGAGGGGGACCAAACATAGATCAGGTGATTAACCTCACCACAAATCCACAAGTTAATTTCAGCGCCTCTGATAAAGTGCAGCTCACAGCTTCAGGTGGAGCAGAGAGGACAGACACAGAGCTACAGCTGGATCATCTTATTCTCCGCTAATGTGCAGCAGAATAAATAATAACAATAATCTCTCGCTCACTCCCGCGCATGTAACGTTAGTTAAACCTGTAAAGTTCAATTTTCAGCCTTTTGTTGTTTGTTTTTTAAAAATCCTTCTGAGATCTGGGGCTTTTCAAAAAACATCTGGGGCTATAGCCCCGGATGCCCAGGGCTAACAACGCCGCTGGCTGGTAACAGAGCCCGACAAGAACCCGCAAATCTAGTTCCACACTACAGTCTAGGATTACACTTGTGACAACTGCTCTCTCTTTTCACGCTTCAGTAGGAAGGTTTCGTAATTTCGACACTTCTGATAGTCTGAAGGCACCAGTCCGTCTGCAGCTCCTAGCAACAGAGCGTTCAGTTTATCCACCTCTAAAGGCAGTAATTAAGACAAAGTTAAGAACTTTAAATTGATTCAGTTACTCACCAACAAGCCAGTTGTTACTTTTGGCTAATTCAGTAGCTAACGCAATTTAAATTTAACGTAACATTTGGTAGTGTAACATTTAACAATATTAGCTAGGTAGTGTTAGGCTAATAATAGCGAAATGCTAAGCATTTAGCTAGCTAACGTAGCGGCCGTTCGGAGCGCCATTGAAAAAGCAAGTCATAATATTTGGAGAAGAAAATTAATCCAAGTGTGGCTTTAACTATGAGTAGTTAACAGGTGAGCGCAGCTGAACAGCCTAAATCCTAGTGTCATAGTGAGCGATGTGGAGGACCTGAAGTTACAGTATCAAATAGTGTAACTAGTGAAACGTAAGTTTCACCAGTAAGAAAAACGCAACACTAACAATGACAGTAATTTATTCAGATCAAGTAAGGTGTCAATACCGATCCAGTGATGGAGGTAACGTTAGTATTTAGAACTAGTACTTGTGAAAATTCTGAAAATAGTAGAAATGCTGTCAGAATTACTCAAGAGTCCCGGGTGATATCTTCACATTGCTTGTTTTGATCAACCAATAGTTGAAAATACAAATTATTAAAAATGATTTCAAATCAATCAAAATTTAAGGACCAGAACCATGACATGTTTTTGCATGAAATATTACTTAAACTATTATAAAAATATTATTAATTTCAGCTTTACTTGTGTCTATGTATAAAATATATAGGTAGTTTAATTTATAACGAAAGATCATTTATAAGCTCTTTCTATGTTTTTATGCAAACATTTAATTTGTAAAATAACTAGGAACTAAAGCTGTCAAATGTAAAATGTTCAGTATTTCCTCAAATGTGTAGTTGAGTAAATTTACTTAGTTACATTTACTAACCCTAAGTTTTAATAACTTCATAGACCAGTTTCTGTCAGAATTCCTGACTAACATCTGTATATTTCACTAATGAATGGCTGACAGGTGCCTTTTATGCTGGCGGGATGAATACCCATTTGACAGAGCTGAACACAGCACAGAGCAGACAGGAGTATATTGATGCTGATGACTGTTCTTCAAAAGAGGACAATAATGTCAACCCAGGCCCTGCAGGGACTCCTCTATGGACAGGCCCCCCTTCAGATGTCAGTCTGCCTGGAGTAGCTCCCCATCATCACCAGTATATTATCCAGCCAGGGATGGTGGACCCTCTTAGCTTAAGGTATAATGTTCATTCACACACTCAACAATTTAGAGATGTTTTTTCTTTCATTATTTGGACACTTAGAAAATCTTCTCTTTTCTTGTTTCTCTGTCAGCCGTTCACAAAATGACTCGTGCCATTTCTTGTGATTCCATTTGGGCTGTACTGGTGTACAAATCTCCTGACCTTACCATATGTTTGAAAAAAATGTGCAAGGAATACGTGTACTGTATTTATCTTTCACATGTTTTCACATAAACAGTTGATGTAAATTTTGAGTTGCAGGTTCCCCTATCCGTGTCAGTCCACTCACTGTCAACTGAATTATCCAGACTACCTTCTGGAGCCCCAGTCCAGTCAGTATCACCTCCTCACTGAGTAAGTCCTCATTCATTTTATAGCGTATAGGTTGTGTTCCACTGTACCATGTTGGAGTGACACATAATGTTAGTTACCAGTAAATATGGTGTCTCCAGCAAGTGAAAAAAACTCTTGGACTACAACTATATATACTTTTGCGTCATCTGGTGGTGGTATTAAGAATGACACAGGGACACTGACATGAATTGGTTGAAACCATCATATAATGCAACCCTTTTCACTGGGATTATTTTATTTGTCTACAAACCAAACATGTCATCAGGATAATTAGAAAATTGCTATTATCACATAAAAGTCCTACACACAGTCCCTTCGATTTGGGGACTTCTACAAACTTAGTCAAAATTATGAACAGAATCTCTTAGAGGGGGGGAACAAGTATTTGATACACTAATGATTATATCATGCAATAAAATGCAAATTAATTATTTAAAAAAAATACAATGTGGTTTTCTGGGTTTTTGTTTTAGATTCCGTCTCTCACAGTTGTAGTGTACCTATGATAAAAATTACAGACCTCTACATGCTTTGTAAGTAAGAAAACCTGCAAAATCAGCAGTGTATCAAATACTTGTTCTCCCCACTGTATATTGCAGAGGCAGCAACAGTGTCATGAATAATTGGTGGTCTGAGCTATGCCTGAGTATGTACAGTCCTGTGCTTGTGGGATATGATGTGTTTGGAAAAGTTTGTAAAGTGACTTGAGTCTTGGTTTCCTCAGCCCTGTGCCTGGTCCACCAGACAGCAGCCTTCACAGCTCAGGTTCTGCTCATTGGTTTACTAATGAACCCATCCTCTGCAGCATGATGCCAGTGAGTATTCACAATCATTTAACTATATTAATACAGAATGTATACATTGCATATTTGTTTTGTGTGTGAGTATGTCTTCTGTGTTTTTAGGGGGATTTACATGCCCCTGTATCCAGTATCTGTGTACCACAGGCCGTGGACCATCAGCAGTTTCAAGAGGGACTGACTGAATTTACATCCCACATCCCACAGCATGTAAGTGCTACCATCAGCACAAAGGAAAACAGCTCTTCCTTTCAACATGAAAAACAATAGATCTCATGAAGTTTAGTGGCATTCTGTTTCCATTTATTTCTATAGGGAGGTATAATTTATGCCCCTCAGATTGGTTTCCTAAGCAGACTGAATATCCTGAAAGGGATGTAGGCCCAGCCCTGGTATATATGTATGCCCAAGTATAGTATAAAAATAAGTCTGTAGACTATAGTTTGTAAATTGAGGCGAAGGCTTACAGAGGTTTTTTATCATGCTAAGCAGCATAAATATGATCTATGTCATAAGCTTGGATGTTCAGTCTGTGACAGAAGATGTGTAGAGTGTCTGCTGTCCTGATGTCAGTGGGGAGATGGTTCCAGCAGTCGTGTTATTGGCAGTGGCTAATTGGCAGTAGCAGAGCATAGTGGACGGGCTGGGGTGTATGATTCTGAGTACTTAAAATGAGCTCTACCTTTAAAAGAAGGTGTATTATATTTTATATTAGAACTTATGGACTAATCGATAATCGAGCAGTTGTTAAAGTCTTCCCCTCATCTGTGTAGGTGATGTGTAATGTAAGTGGAGGTGGACAGGTTGTGCTCGTCAACCCCTGTGAGCCAGGACCTGTGTTCCTTACCCTGAAATCTGCCCCAACACATACAGATGACGGCCCAACTGCGGGTGAAGGTGAGGACGTTTGCATAGGTTACATATTAGTTTCAGTTTAGTTTTGTGCCAGACTTGTGTCTGTCCAGAGGACAAGAAATGATTGGACAGTCAACTGGAGGTGTGGCACAATATATCTATATCTATCTTTTATATTATAAATAGCAACTAAAACACTATAACTAAAAGCATGGCTGAACGTGAAAGGAACACTCCACGGTGGAGGAATTACTACCAAAGAGGGGAACGACGTCAGGAGTGTGGAAATTGATTTGGTTCCAAAAGATCAGATGTAGAACAAACCACGGTAATAACTAAGAAGTCCAACAACAAAAGGGAGCAATACAACAAACTTGTTCACCACCTCAAGAAGAAGCATGTGGTTCACAACAATGAGGGCCAAAAATCGTGCGAGGAGAGCTTAACAGCTACTGTGATTTTTCAGTATTTGTCGTCAAGAATATCAACATCGCACAAATACCCTGAAATATCGCCTTCCACTACCGTAAGCCCCCGTTTTGTGCTTGGCTTTATTCTCATGCTGCTCACTTCAAACAATGTAATGCAGTTTATCATTCTGCTTTAAGCTTCATTACAGGAGATCCTAATATTATCTGAAAAGGGTTGCTCCGACTCATCACTAGCAACAAGAAGAAAATGGCATTCTATAATTTTTTTCTGCAAAAGCTGCCTCAGTATGTCACTTGTCTTCTCACATTTAAACCACTGCTCAGTGACCAGATTTCAGCAATGGTTAACTACAGTTACCCCTCGTGTAAATATTAATCTTGCCCAGATTGCCTTCTAATATTTTGCAAATGGAATGAATTACAGAATTTTTGTCCTTTGTGTAGTTGCCCTAGGGCAGTGATTCTCAACCAGGGCTACTTGTACCCCAGGGGGTACTTCTGAAGGTGCCAGGGGGTATGTGGGAAAAGTTATGATCTGATAATATATCCACATATTTGTGTGTAGGAAAAAAATCAACGCACATGTAAGATTACAAATGTGTGTAGTTATTGTAAAAATAACCTACCAACTATTGTAGTCTGCACATTACATGCCTCAGCTTTCCACCAACCTGAGTCAAATGTAATTTTATTTAGAAAGGCAGAAATCCTAGTTAGAAAAAAGTCAACTACAGTAAATGAAACAATGGTTGAAACAATCAGTTTTTGCCACTCCAAGTAGGAAAGTGAAGTCCTTTTGAGCGCCTTGTGTTGTCCCACCTAAAATCCATCACAGACCCACTCCTGGACCCCCTGCAATTTGCCTACAGAGCCAACAGGTCTGTAGACGATTAGCAGTAAACTTGGTCCTTCACGTCATTCCCCAGCACCTGGACTCACCAGGATCCTGTTTGTGGATTTCAGCTCTGCTTTCAACACCATCATCCTGGCCCTGCTGCAGGACAAGCTCTCCCAGCTGAGCGTGCCTGACTCCACCTGCAGGTGGATCAAAGACTTCCTGACGGACAGTAAGCAGCACGTGATGCTGGGAAAACATGTCTCTGACTCCAGGACCATCAGGACCGGTTCCCCTCAAGGCTGTGTTCTTCCCCACTTCTCTTCTCCCTGTACACCAACAGCTGCACCTCCAGTCACCAGTCTGTCAAGCTCCTGAAGTTTGCGGATGACACCACCCTCATTGGGCTCATCTCACGTGGGTCCGCCTACATGTGGGACATCGACCATCTGGTGACCTGGTGCAGCCAGAACAGTTAGGAGCTCAACGCTCAGAAGACAGTGGAGATGGTCGTGGATTTTAAGCAAGAAGGCCCAGCAGAGGATGTACTTCCTGCCAAAGACAATGATGGCGCACTTCTACACGGCCATCATTGAGTCCATCCTCACCTCCTCCATCAGCATCTAGTACGCTGCTGCCACTGCCAGGGACAAGGGCAGACTGCAGCATATCATTCGCTCTGCAGAGAAGGTGATTGGTTGTCACCTTCCATCTCTTCAGGACCTGTACGCCTCGAGGACACTGAGCAGGAAAGATTGCAGCTGACCCCTCCCACCCCGGACACAAACTATTTCACACTCTCCTCTGGCAGGAGGCTGCCGTCCATCAGGACCAAACCCTCTCACCACAACAGTTTCTTTCCGATAGCAGTGGGCTTCCTCAACAAGGCCCGGGTCCCCACTGTCACTGACTCTCATGCCCCCCCTCCACAAACACACACACGCTCATACACACTCCTGACCCCACACTTTACTCCAACTCTCAACTGTGCTTTATGCTCATGTTGTGAACTTTTGCACATATTTGTCAGCATTGTATTATAGTATTATTTGTAATTTTTGTATACTTGTACATTTATGAGCTCCTTACTTTTCCTTAGGCAAATTCCTCGTATGTAAAAATGTACCTGGCAATAAAACTGATTCTGATTCTGAAAAATGCAAACGTGGGCACAAATGCCATTAAGCCATCCCATCTATCAAGGGGTGAGAAAGGGGTACTTGGGCCCATCTGATAGGTCTTTGGGGGTACGCCGGGCAAAAAAGTTTGGGAACCACTGCCCTAGGGGGTGACATATCGCTGTGTATTGGTGAGATGCAAAAGAGTTTTAGATGGAGTGAGAGGAGATGACACGGTGAGCGTTGTGTAATCTCGTGAGACTTGGTGCAATTCAAACATGGCAGCGCGCAGCTAAACAAACATTTCATTAAACAAACAATCTGCCAATTTTAAGCGAATTAACAAACAAGAGCAGTCAAATCGCACTGGAGGACCTCGAGGACGAGTGTTTGGAGGACCTCGAAGTTTACATTGACCAGTGTTTTCATCGAGTGGTCATGGGGAAATCAAAAAGAAACCGCACTGAAGACTCACCTGGAGCATCACCTGGAGCAGTCTCCTCACAAGGTGCAGATTTCACAGAAATCCTGGATTCAATAGACAAGAAATTGTCTAGCTTTGATGCCCGATTATCTCTGGTGGAAGTACTTCACAAAGAGTTTCAGGCTCTGCGGGAATCCCTGGAGTCTCAGTCAGAAACAGGTGGTTGAGCTCGCGGCGGAAAACAAGGTCCTCAAAGGTTCGGTTAAATCCCTCACGGAGGGAATGACGCGGCTCTCGGCAGACAATAAAAACATTAGAGAAGCAATCATCCATCTCCAGGCTCGTAGTATGCGGGATAATCTGGTCATTTCAATGCAATGTATACAATCTGGTCAGGCGGATGAAGCCCCAGAGGAGACCGTTAAAAGCTTCATCCAAAATCAACTGAAGCTCCTGGCCGAGACCGTGAAGAACATCAGCTTCCACCGGGTGCACCGCCCGGGAGGACGGCGACAGGAGAACCAGAGACCCAGGCCCATCGTCGCGAAGTTTGAACACTTCAAGCAGAAGGAACTGGTTAAAGGCCGCGGCAGGGAGCTGAGAGGGACCAACTTCAGCGTTAATGACCAGTTTCCCCGGGAGATCCTGGACCGACGCCGAGTCCTGTTCCCAATAAGAAAGAAGCTTATTGGAGAAGGATCACGGGCTGTCATCGCGGTGGATAAACTTTACGTTGATGGCCAGCTGTACCGCGACAGAGACACCACTCCTTGGCTCTACTAAGAACCAAATCCAGCAACAGGTGAACTGTATCACTATGCGATAATTTTTTCCCCTCTCAGTTAATTACTCCGTGACATATGGTAGGTTAATAGTTATAAAATACAGTGCACGTCTCAACAGCCTATACTGTGGTTATCTGACTAGACTGTCCGATAATGTTTTGTGTATTTTCCTCTGTTTTTTGTTTCACTGTTTCTTTCTTTTGTTAATGTTGCTCTTCCTCCGCCGTTTACACGTCGATCAGCTGCGCAATTTTCATACTGTTTAATTCACAAACAGTCGGGCACACCGCTAGCACACACACGCAGGCGCATACAACATGAACACATAGACACACACATACAGGCGCATACAACACACAATGATACAACACGCACACTGCACACACTAGCCTACACCACATCCCTTAGTTGAATGATGACCACACTTAAAATCACCTCTTGGAATGTACGCGGAGTTGGTTCAAGGGAAAAGAGATTAAAATTTTTTAACCATCTATATAATCTGCAAGCAGACATTGTCCTACTACAGGAGACTCATTTACCCAAGACAGCAGATAAACTAACCTCACCACAGTTTCCTCACTCGTACTCAGCCTGTTATAACTCAAAACAAAGGGGTGTCACCATTATGGTAAATAGAAAAACACACTTCAATCATAATACCACTACTATGATCCAGAGGGTCGATTCATTATTGTTAACATTTCGATTCAAAATACTCGTTTATGCATTGCTAACATCTATGGCCAAAATGTTGACGACCCCTCCTTTTTTCATGCTTTCTTCAACTCACTCTCTGCTCACTCAGACACAGCTCTTATATTAGGAGGGGACTTCAACATGGTATGTAATCCAGCAGTTGACAGGCTCAGTACGGCAGGTGGTCACCGTATTTGGAAATCAACAGACATCCTTAAACAATACATGAGCGATTTTGGTCTTTGCGATGTTTGGCGTTCTCACCACCCCACTCTTATATACCTTCTTTTCACCAGTCCACCACTCATATTCTCGCCTTGACTATTTTTTGGTTAGCAGCTCAATTATGACATTTCCAATACTCAGATTCACCCTATCACTATCAGTGATCATGCACCGGTTTCTATCACTCTTACTAAAAAAAGGGTCACACGGCCAACTAGAAGTTGGAGATTTAATGCATCATTGCTTAAAGACCTAGATTTTATAAGTTACTTCAAAAAGGAGTGGGCTATATTATGGAAACTAATGACCTGCCAGGAACCTCGCCATGTCTTCTTTGGGAGGCAGCAAAAGCAGTCATGAGAGGTAAAATAATCTCCTATTCATCATACAAAAAAAGAAAGAGAGATCTTGTGAATTAGAGCTAGAACAAAAAATAAAAACATTAGAAACTACCCTTGCTACCTCCCCACAGGAACGCATGCTGAATGATCTGAGAAAATCAAAACTTGAATTAAATGAAATTAT